CATGGTCTCTGATCTGGAACTTTTCTCTGTAAAATTATTTGTCTAAATGTCTGTGTTTGCAAAAGTTCAGAATTTTATAAATGAATTCATAAATTATTACATGTAGGATGTTAAATGACCATTTGAATTGGAATAAAAGAAGGACAGATTAATAAATCCAAAGAAATTTAACACAATCATAACACATAATCATAAGTTTTGCAATAAAACAAAATGTAACTAATTTTATTTTATCAATATTTTATCTCTGATCTGGAACTTTTCTCTGTAAAATTATTTGTCTAAATGTCTGTGTTTGCAAAAGTTCAGAATTTTATAAATGAATTCATAAATTATTACATGTAGGATGTTAAATGACCATTTGAATTGGAATAAAAGAAGGACAGATTAATAAATCCAAAGAAATTTAACACAATCATAACACATAATCATAAGTTTTGCAATAAAACAAAATGTAACTAATTTTATTTTATCAATATTTTAACTAATTATGGCTATATTATTGTTTGCTGATATGTGGAATACTGTTAAATACTGCCACAATATATATATATATATATATATATATATATATACACACACACACACACACACATACACATATAAATATTTTAATTTTATCATTCAAAGTATATTTACATTTTTCTATACACCTCCACAAATTGTCAACCACATTGTTAAAAAAAAAAAAAATCAGTCAAAAAGCAAATGAACTGGAATTTAAAAGGGATTCTTTAATTCCAAATGGTGAGCAACCCTACTTACGTTAGCCCAGCTGTTGGTCTTTTATGCCTGACTAGAAGCAGGAAAGCATCTATTATTTTAGCGTCCAATTACAAAGACACATGCCCTGCACAAACATGCCATGCATTTGCCTGCCTTCCCCCATCCGTCCACAAACACAGAGAGGAGATCGAACCTGACTAACTGTTCTGGACACATCACCCACCTCAAATGAGCCTGGTGAAGTTCTCTCTCTGCAGGTCTGGTTCTTTTTAAAGAGCCGTTGTGCTGGATTAATGTACAGCTTAGTGAGTAGAAGAGACCCATGGGATATCTCTATGAGCACACAAAGGGAGAACAAACTTATTAATGGCTTGATAGACTAGTAACTAGTAACTAGTAACTAGTGGAAAGAAAATATCCAAAATACACATTAATGTGTTTATTTTATTACACTCTATATATTTGCTTCCTCAACGGAACAGATTTGGAGAAATGTAGCATTACATCACTTGCTCACCAATGGATCAGCAGTGAATGGGTGCCGTCAGAATGAGTCCAAACAGCTGATAAAAACATCACAATAATCCACAAGTAATCCATACGACTTCAGACATTTCAAGATATTTTTCAACTTCAAACCATTGCTTCCAGCTAAATGTCCATAATATTGCTTTCTCCAGTGAAAAAGATGTCTAGTCTGAATCAGGAGAGAAATATGCACAGATCAAGCACCTTTTAGAAAGCGAAAACAGTGCAACAGTTCTAAACAAATATGTTGGTGGATTTTGATGTGAGAGGACAACAGGGGATGGACTTTTTCACTGGAGGAAGTGTTATTATGGATTATGGACTCGAATTTTGTCCAGAAGCAACAGTTTAAAGTTAAAATGCCTTGATGGATTTTTACTTTTTTTTTGTACAAACATGCAACTTCTTTGCTTCACAAGACATTAACTGATTGACTGGAGTCGTACGGATTACCTGTGAATTTTTGTGATGTTTTTATCAGCTGTTTTGACTCTCATACTGACGGCACCCATTCACTGAAGAGGATCCATTGGTGAGCAAATGATGTAAAAAATAGCTACATTTATCCAAATCTTTTCTCTTATCCACTGAAGAAACAATCAACATCTCATCTACATCTTGGATGGCCTAAGAATGAGTACACTTTTAGCAATGTTTTTTCTTTTGCATTTATAGAAGCATATTTTTCATAACACTAGAGGGCACCCCAGAGTCTCATTGTCAAAATTGAGTGTCTCTTAATATAGCCAAGAGTCTAATGAGTACAAATGGTGTTCAATAAATATGAATCTTTGTGCTTTGAAAGTTCAAAAATTCAAACCTTCCATTATGAGTCAGACTTTCCAATGTTTGGTCACCACGGCAACAGTTTGATGATCCCAGTAAGCGCTGTGACCTCGGTCTCTCCTTGTGCATTGTGGAAAATAGAATATCAGCAGCTGTTGCACAGTGGGTGACTTCTGCACTCCATCTAGCATGGTTGCCCAACGTAACCACAGTGATTAATTATGACATAGAGCTCTGGAACCTCTTGAGTGGACGGCACACAGTGCCAATGAAACGGGGCAGATCTCCAACTAGATACAGAAAAAGGTTAATATTTTTAATTACTGCAATCATAATATGGATATTTATCCACTGAGGTAGAGTATTCACAAAGGGAAAATTTATCAAACCCACAAGTGAATGTTTAGCTATTTTTACTACTTTTTACTGATGGAATAAATAAGGTTGTCTATATGCTGAAATCTTTAATATGCTGTTTTACTTTTAAATCATTACATACCCAAAACCAGATAAAAATCCATATCTAAATCTATACCCAGATCCAGATCCAAAACTATATTCAAAGGCCTGACATCAATCAGATTTCCTTCAGATCCAGATTCAAATTCAAACACATATCCACATTTAAATCTAGATCCAGTTCCAGACCCCAAACCAGATACAAATCTGTGTTCAGATCCAAATTCAAATCCACATTTAAATATGCACCCAGATCCAGATGCAGAACTATGTTCAGATCCACATTCAAATCTAGACCCAGACCCAGACCCCCAAAAAGATCCAAATTCAGATTTAAATACACTTCTAAATCTACACCCAGATCAAAGTCAAAAACCCAATCCAAAACTATGTTCAGATCCAGATTCACTTTCAAATCCACATTTTAATCTAGACTCAGATCCACACCCAAATTCAAATTCAGATCCCATTGGATCCAAATTCAGACCTTGACCCCATTGACCCATTATGTTCTATAAAAAGAACTGATCGTCAGTGTTGTACAAAGACTTAAGATAAAGCATATTCAAAAGCCTGCTCTACATCATATTGATTTTTTTCTATGCATATTCATGTTTATGGTACATACAGTATGCAAGTCCTGTGTAAAGACGATGGGCTGAATGACCATCTTATACTGTTATACAAAGGCAGCCATCAGTCTCAAAGCTGTAAAAACTCAACAACTCACACCAGCAGTAATAAAGCATGCAACAGTCGTCAAACCCTCCCTCTCCTTCACACACATCTCTCTCCTCCTGCCCGACTCTATCCACTTGAAACTGTAACTTTGTCAAAGCAATTTTGTCGAAAGTAACAACGAGAAAACACCATAGTTTAAACAACCAGCTCAAGCTAAAGAAAAGCATTCTGTCCTGATCAACAGAAGCATTTAAAGTTTCTAGAATCAAAGAATGCTCACTTTTACGTTCTCGTAATGTACAGAAAATTGATAAAAAGAATCAGACAAGAGCATCACCCAACATTCAATTTCCAGTTGACCACATCATATAATTTCACTCTCATGTTCCCTTCAATCTTACATACACACTCTATGTCCTACTTTTGCATACATGTTCTTATCCCAAAGACATTTTTTAGTTGAAATCATTGTGGAGCTCCACCCTGTTGCAACAATATGTTTGATGGTTTGATAAGGAAGTCATGAAAAGCGATGCTCAGGAATGCAGTTGGGTGTCTGATGTTAGACGTCTGTTTGAAGTGCCACTATATGACAGACAGATCAAGCCCTGATTCAGCTGGAATACTAAAAAGAGTCTCGTTTAGTCATAAACTGCAGGGACTTTTCTGGAAAGTTTCTATACCAAGAAATTCAAAGCAATTTAGAGTAAGCTTTGATCAGATTCAGTCAAAATAAAATCTGATTGAGCCAAAATACTTTTTAAATTAAAGAACTGTTTGCATCTTAAAGGGTGAACAGTTTGCATAAATAAATGCCCAGTTATTTTTTTTTTACTGAACTGATATTATTTTCATTCTGCTAAAGCACATTTTAGATACAAATTTTAATTAGTTAGTTAGTTACCATTATTAGTTAGTTGACATTATTATGGTGGCTCTCATTAGATTCAAGATTTCATTTTATATATAAAATGAGAATTAAACGAATTTTTACATTACATAAGTTAGAGGGGGATTTTTGTTTAATTGTTCTAAAAAATGTCAAGAAATCATAGGGAAACGTCGATTTAGAACGGTTCACTCACACACTTCTAGAACACAGTGAACAAAACGTTTGCTGGATTAAGTGGATATTTACTTACAATCCATTTCGTTTGAAATGTACTCGGAAGTCGTGGCCTCATGGTTAGAGACTCGGACTCGTAACCCAAAGGTCCGGCAGGGATTGTAGGTGGGGGGAGTGAATGTACAGCGCTCTCTCCCACCTTCAGTACCACGACTGAGGTGCCCTTGAGCAAGGCACCGAAACCCCCAACTGCTCCCCGGGCGCCGCAGCATAAATGGCTGCCCACTGCTCCGGGTGTGTGTTCACGGTGTGTGTGTGCACTTAGGATGGGTTAAATGCAGAGCACTAATTCCTAGTATGGGTAACCATACTTGGCCACATGTCACGTCACTTCACACTTAAAAAAAAAAAAAAAGCAAATCCATCCATCAATTGCCAGCGATGAAGAAAGTCTATTAGGCAAAGTTTAACACCTGCGTGAGTTGCATGTGAACGACTCTGTATTGCACGTGCAGACATTTCTAGACCAAAAGCTTATGAAAACACTTACAATACAATAGAGCACTTAAAGTCCAAAAAAGACACTACCGTTCTGGCTGCCAAACGGGGCAGTGAGGACTGTCACTGCGAGTGTGTGTGCAATCTGAACCGTTCAGGCAGTTTGTGTGTGAGGTGTTCGGATCTCTCCTCCTCTCTATACGCTTCCTCAAACACGCTCACGCGCCCAGCCCACGCTCTCTCGCTCTCCCTCCCTCCCTCTCATGTCGCAGTTTTGTTCGTGTGTGTATCTGCAAGGCTCATGTAGTGTGTGAGGACTGTCTCAAAAGTGTGTACGCCCCCCGTGGCCGTCCTGAGAGCAAACGGAGGCTGTCGTTTTCCCCCCAGAGACCCCAATGCAGATGGTGTGAGCAGTGAGGGGAAAAGTTTATGACAGCTCTGCTGTTGTCGGTTCGCGGCTGCCCCATGGAGGCTTTTGATTTTACGGTTGCAGCTGTAGACTTTTAACCGGTCTGTTTGACTCAGTAATGCACTTGTATTGGAAAGAGTCGCGTTCGGGATTTAATTTGGGATCACAGTGAATCCTGTACCAGTCTGAGTCACGCACTGGATGTGTTTTGGGTTTTATTGGATTTTTTTCCCCCCACTGCATTTCTGTGGACGTTCTCAGGATAGCAGTTTTTAAGGTAATAATAGTCTGTTTACAGTCATTTGGCTGTTGCTAATGACAAGTTGGCTGCGTGTATGTGGTTATTTTGCTGTTGTGAGACGCGCGCGCGTGTATGCTTTGCCTTTTCCTAGGCTGTAATGTAAAGGTCATCCAGCTCCAGAGATTTTGTCTATGTGTGGGTCATAGCCACAGAAACACATAATGAACCATAATCAGTGTGGATGTGTATGATGCAGTTGCCTCTTTTATTTATTTATCTATCTGGGTTTTTCATGAAATGTCAAGCAGCATCTTGCTCTCTCTAAAAGTCTAAAATCTAAATTTTAAACTATTTTAAATAATATTTAATTATTTAAAAATATATACTTATTGAAAGATACTTATTAAATGATTATTAATGTAAAAATGACATGTTAATAATCATTCAATAAGTATCTTTCAATAAGATCATTCAATAAATATCTTTTTAAAACAATCAAATATTATATATATATATAATTTGTCTTATGTCTTGAGATGGAAAAGTTTGTGCTATTTTATCACTTGTCAACTACCGACCTACAGTATATTTAAACAAGCCTTTCTAATAAGTTCCACAGATCTCACTGTTCGACAAAGCTAGTTTCATATTTCTACAGCTGTTGTCTACTAGATTTGACAAATTGAAGAAGCAGTGTTAAAAATAGCTCAGATGTTCTCCTGTTCCATTCAAAAGTGCAGCATTTTTTAATTTTAACTTTGTGGTGGACACCCAGAGGTTGGAGTTCTCAGTTTTAAGTACTTTGTCTCAGATGTTTCTCCTTATATTCTTAAGGAGAAATAAAAATAGACTCAAATGATTGTTGACATGTAAGAGCGAGCGTAGAGTAATAAATAAATGTGACTATTTCAGCTTGGGAGATTTTGATGAAAATTGTTTGAGTTCTTATTGAAATCTCTTCTTTTGTTTGCCGACGACTTTGGCAAATCTGAGCACAGTTTGAGATTGAGATCTCCTATGAAACTCTAAAGGAGACACAAATGAGATTACTGGGGCCTTTTTCCTCAGGAGGCATTTAAACACCAGGGTATTTAAGCCATTTGCTCTTCTTTTATTTCCATTCCTATCTACAACAATTGAGATATTCAAGAGCTCTAATTTGTTATATTTCTTTTCTATGGGCAGAGAAGCATTTGGTTTACTAATAAACTCTGCTCACACTGAATTATCTCAGCAGTTTCTGGAGTCAATTTGAGGTTTATATTGAGTTAGAGGAGGTGTGGAGGAGAGCGGCAGAGGTGGAGAGGTACTGTAGATGGAGATGCAGATAGAAACTAATGAAAGGAAGAGGCAGGAATGAACAGCAATCTTGTCAGCTCACTGACGCTGTAAGAAAATGATGATATCTGGAAAAGAATATTCACAAACAGAATGGCTTATGCTGAATTTCAGTGTGTTTTTAAATATTTAATTTTGTTATCTAGGAGAAACAGGTGAGATTTTAAAGACGTCTCACATGTTAGGGTTTTGTCTTTTGTCTTTTTTAAGGGTAACATCATATTCAAAACATTCTGGAGGTCCTAACCCTCGTCCAATCTCCTAACCTCATTACCACACGTTATGGTGCTTTAACGTTGATGGAGGAACGTTATTTTGCCAGTACGGAGAGAGCGACATCACTGTGGCTATTTTGAGGACTGATCTCCTTCATTTTTCTCCATCAAACCCTTCGTGACCCTGTGCTGTGATTGTGTTTGTGATGTGGGCATGTCTGTCTCTGTCTCTGTCTCTGTCTCGTTCAAGCAATGTGTGCAGCTCGCCGACTGCAAACCATCTCATCTGGTGTTTGGGAGCAACCAAAGTCAGAGCAAAACAGTTGCATCACTTTTGCAGCTATACAATCTTAAAAATAAGGTCCTTTATTGGCATCAGTGGTTCCATCAAGAACCTTTAACATCCATGAAACTTTTTCATCGGACAAAAGGTTCTTTACAGTGGATAACAGTTCTTTAGATTATTCAAATATTATTCACACTTAGAAAAAAATGGTTCTTTTAAGAACTGTTCACTGAAAGGTTCTTTGGAGAATTAGGGTTGTGCAATGTCTACCAAATTGGCATCGGATGTGAGTCGGTAATGTCTGTCAGCCATCGGCGATGGACGATGACATAATCTATCGGCCCAACCATATTGGAGAACCCAAAATGGTTCTTCTATGGCATGTGAAAACACCCTTTTGGAACCTTTGTTTTTGAGTGTATTTTAGCTTTTTTCCCGTCGTATTCACTAAAAATATTTATTAAAATAGATGTTTGTGTAGATTTGCAAGCAATTATGGCAGCAGTAATTCATCAATTGATAAAGAAGTAATCGAGAAGAGTGTTGTAGTCAATCGCACATTCGCCATTTCTAAGAGCCAAGGATAGTTTCAAATTTCTGCAGCTGAAGAAGGAGAAGTGTTAAAATAGCTCAGTAGTTCTCCTTTTCCATTCAAGAGTAGAGCATGTTAGGTTTTAGCTTTGTTTGTGGTGGACATTCAAAGTTTGGAGTTAAGGAGAAATAAAAATAGACTCAAATGATTTTTGACAAACAAGATAAGTATGGAATAATAAATAAATGTGAATTGCATGGCATGGACCATTTCAGCTTGGAAGAAATTTATAATGAAATAGTATTCTTTTGATTGCCCAGTCTTATTCACTAACACTATTTATAATAATAGATGTTTGTGTAATTTAACAGTTGATTATGCAATGATGAGGAACAGTGTTGTTGTCAAGCACATATTCAGCATTTTTGGGAACCAATGCTGTGCCATAATTTCTTCAAGGAGGCACTAAGGAAGGCAACTGTCTTGAATTATGGTCTGCAAAGTTCTAGGTTTGGCAAAAGTTTCTCACCTAGTTGTGAAGGTCTGGAGACTAAGAATACGGTCTAACTTGTCTAAACAGTCCAAACCTCAAACAAAGAGGCAGTCAGGCAGTCCATTGAAGTGGAGTTAGTCATTCTGCCAAATTAGAGAAAGGACACA